TGACACCAGGGGCTCGTGTGAAGGTTGATACGGCTCTTCACAACTCCCTGCACCTGTCTTGAAGAAGATGGTTCTTTGAACTTCTTTCCTTTCCGTCTTGCCCTGACAACTTTGTCCGGGTTCCTCGTGGGAAGGGTCTCTGTGAAGGATTAAAAAAACACTTCCCCTTTGGGACATCCGTTAAAATTGGAACGATACAGAGAAGATTAGCATGGCCCCTGCGCAAGGATGACACGCATAAATCGAGAAATAGTCCAAATTAAAAAAAAAAAAAAACACTTCCCCTTTTTTTATCTGAAAGAAACAACCACTCTTCGACAGAGTTGACCGGACAGGTGGATGAAAAAGAACCCCCCCCTCCCCCCTGTGACAAACTACTTCCCTAACCTGTGCCATCTTTTGTACCCCTCCTTTTTGTATCATATCAACCCCATAAAACCCCCTGTTTCGTTTTCTTGATTTCGGGGGCCTCGTTTTTGGCCCCCATCTTTCGGGAGCCTTTACGATTCCCGGGTTCGGCTTTTCCTTTTGCAATTCAGGAAATACTTGGGAATTTACGTGCGCCTTAGCGAGCGCACTGGGAATTGGGTCCGGCAGTTGGGATTTCCGGGATAAGCGGAACTTYGACGTGTYCTTTTTGTGTGTGAATGTTCTCGGTCGCGTCGGGGAAAACTCTCGGAATTTTGCAAGGATACGAATAGGCGTAGGACTTTCTTTTCCCGCGTTGCTCTTTCGCGCGCGGATATGGTGATTTCAATTTGGAATTGGTTTAGGACGTAGGCGAGCTATAACTGTTTCGGTGCCTTTTTCTTTTGTTTTTTGTTGACGGCGCCACGCATGCAAAARCTTTCTCCTCTCTGTCCCCCGCATCGCTYTCTCCCGCRCTCCTTTTTCCTTCCCCCTCCTCCTCCTCTCTCCTCGTAACTGTTTTTYTCCCTCCCTTTCTCTCTCCCGCTCAGTTYTTTGCGCGCCCATTTCCCYTTTCTTGATCATCTGAATCTTGGACCCGTCTTGCACTACTTCTCGCGCCTTTTCTTCTCTCCGAGTAAAGCTCGTGAAGTCCGGTTGATCCTTCGATTACTCTCGCCCACCAATCAGACGTGGGGTACGGTAGGATCTGCCTATCGCGCGACGAGTATTATTGGTTAATCTTGAGTTTCGAAGCATCAACATGGCTTCCGCGGAGCGCTCCTCTCAAAGTCTTCTTCTCCTGCTTCTCCACTTACACTTCGACTTTCATCCTGCATTCTCCCTCCCTTGGCTCCCTCCTCGCTGCTATAAATTCCGCAACTGCACCCGCAAATCTCTCTTACGTTCTCGACTCCTGAGCCAGCTTCCGGGAAGCCGTGGCTAGGCAGAGTGTTTGGTGCGAGTCGGAAAGTCCTGTCGGGCTGACGATAGGCTGGCCGGTTGCACGCTTGATCGCCACGAGGGACTGTGRGATCTGGGCGAACCGCGTCGAGTTTACGTCAGCGGGGTGACGATCGCAGTGGTGGGAGTTAGCACGCGGCGGCAGGGATCGTCAGTGCGGGTATGAGGATCGATGATTGGAGTTGAGTGAGTGATTGGCCTGGGGCCATATTGGAATTCACGGCGAATGCGCCTTTGTTGTTGCGGATCTTTATCTCTGGCGTGAGTGTAAGGCGGCAATGTCGAACTTCCTCTTCTCGGATCTTGTCCTCTTCTATCTCGAGATTCCTCCCTCGCCTCTTTCTCTCTCCTCTATCTTTGAATGATGATGCRTCTCGAGGTCACTCTCTCTCTCTAATGGGAATGAGTCTGCATGCTATTCCTATGCGAAAGAACTTCTTCCGGAACTCTTCCATTAGTTTCCTGGGTAGTCCCCCTATGCAAGAACCCCRCCTTCTTGTCTTGTGAACGGTGGATGCCTGTGTACTATTCAGCGACCCATCTTTTATCTTCGTGCATATCTCCTTTTCGCACCTTCCACAGTGAATGTATGTATGGAGGTACGTGTCTTTTTGAGTTGATTATACGATTGTTGTCGTGATCTTATCCGAGAATGCAAGAGTGTTTAGATCTGTAATTTTGAGTGCGCTGCGCATGCCATCTGCCTTATACTGCACGACACCTGCACCTGACCCAATTGATGAGTGTTTTCTCTCTCTCRTGATTAAAAAAGGATTGATTGGTGGTTGMGYGAGCGTTTCTTTCCTTGATGACGTCTCGGAGTTTTTGCAATTGATTGAYATGTGGACYGACAAGCACCCTTCGATCGGGCGTCAGCCTCCCGTACCTCYCGTATCAACACRACCTTTTCCTTAMAACGAGGAAAGGACGCGTGTATGTGAGTGGGACGTACGARAAGTTGTCGCACARATCGGCGGACGATACTACTTCCCTCCGGCAAACCRTTGTTCAGGGTTCGTAGAGGCTGGGTTTGTGATTATCGACACGCACTTCCCACCCTACTCGATATTGTTGCCATTCAACGAGCTGATCGTCATTCCGTGGACGGCAGTGGCGCCCCATTGGCCTCGAACCCTGTGCACAAAGTGCCAGCGTTTCGATCGCTACAAAGCAAAGGGTTGGGTTTCCACTACCGAATACGGAGTGAAGACGAGCATAAGGAAAGAGCCACACGGCTAAGACCCTCCACATCAGACTCAGAACTGACCAGCGAGCGACGACGGGATTTGATACGAAAACGAGACACGCGAAGTGTGCCAAAGCCCTTCTGCTCTAAGCGACGGGCCGTAGTGCGGTGGGAAGCTCGACAATACTTTTTGGATTGAATTTGGATTTTTCTCTTTTCTCGCCGTGTCCGCGCGCGCATTCCGCGACGCGCGAAAGCAACCGACTTACTTCATCGGACCAACACGGGGGATTTCAGTTCCGTCTGTGTCCCCACACTCAATTTCCAAAAATCCTTGGCACACCCCATCTTGCTGTTTTTCTGGGCCTCTTTCCGCACATCAAACACTCTGAACGAAAGACAGCACAGGGCGTGAGGTTGGTATCGGAGCCAACACGTGTCGGTTCTGATGATAGTAAGTCGAACTGGCGAGAGGTAGAAGAAGAAATCCCCCACCCGCTCACCGAGATCGCCCAGTGACCAGATATATATTTGGTGTTGCTATACCAGCTATACCAATGGTGGACTGTAATAAGGTAGTGGTTAGTATTCCTGCCCCTTTCCCCTTTTTCCCTAATCATACCCACCCCGAAGCTTGGCTGGAAGCCGTTGAAGCTCAAGGTTATAGCGCGGGTGATCTTCCTCGCGTTCTTACCTTGCTACTCCGTAATATGTCACATGACTGGTTTAGAAAGCACACGTGGGTAGATTGGAATACTTTCAAACAAGCATTCTTGGCTCGATTCGATACGGTCAGTGAAGATTCCGCCTGGTACGTATGACCGCAAGGACCAGGGAAATTGCTGCCCGATTTCGTGGATCGATTTCAAACCACGTTGGACAAATCTGAGCGAGACGAGAAATCCCCTCGAGATTTGTTCATCGATCACCTACGAAGTCAGACGTTAAAAGGGAAGCTACAGAAAAAGGTCCCGCCAAAGACACACCAACTATCTGCTAGCATCGCTAAAGCGTTGGAACTAGACCTGGCTGATACAAAAAAATATATCAGTCAGGGAGATGAGGATATTACGGACACCATACACGATGTAGCGGCTAAAAGGCGATCATGGTTGCGAGCGGTAGAACGGTTTTATCCCCACCCCGACCATGGCCTTCCCAACGGGATCGCTTCCGATATTCCGTCTGTTTCTTCTTCCTCTCCCTCGGTGAATCAACCGATAGTGGCAGTTAAGAGCGGAATCTCCCACGAACCTCCCTCGCCGGCCATAACCAACTTACATCTTGCCCAAATGATCCATACGGCCACTACCAAGCAGTCTGAATGGATGAGGAACTTGATCCAAATGCAGGCCGCTCATATGGAGCAGATGGAACAGATAATGAGCAGGCTAATTAAGCCTAACCCGGCCTCTGCTCGGCCTGCTCCCGCGTCATTTTCACTTTTGCCTGCCCCGCCTGCACCAGGATATGCACCTCAGTTCCCTCACCCAGCTAACCCAGCGGGGAAGATTGAGTGTTTTAACTGCAAACAGCCCGGACATTTCGCCCGAGACTGTCCGCAGCCAAAGCGTAATCAGCCTCCACCTGTTGCGGCCCCTGTGGCCCTGAATCAAGGACGAGTGGCCGCATTGATGGATACGACCCAAAGAGGGGAACTCGTAGCATATGCTCCATAACAGCTTTCCCCCTCGACGACAACGACGTCGACATCGGGAGCTTCTTCTGCTGACGCTGCTGACGTGGTCGATCCACTTAAATATCTTCATCTTGCAGGAATGGTCGGAGCCATCCGATCTGCCCCTGATGACCTCGAATGGGTCGATCGCGAGTCCAATCCAGGTCCACAGTTTCGGACGGGAGAAATTGATGTGTTACGAGCGCTCAAGCAATTGGATATCCGTGTTCCGATCCCGGTGGGACATCTGCTCACCATATCCGAAGCGGCAAATGATAAACTTTTGCAACATTGTCAGAAGAATCAAAAGTGCTTCATGTACCAGCGCATCCAACGAATGCTAAAGAAGAAGGAGGAGGAAAGAGAGGATGTTGCACGAACCCGAAGCCTGCGAACCCGAAGCCGCACGTGTAGCAGCGATCTCTTTAGCAGAAAAAGATCACTTTGTACGAGCTCGGCCGGTACTGTGGAAAAGTGCGGAATGTGATTGTGAAGTTTGGGGCAAACCGTTTAACGCCCTTATCGGCACAGGGTCTTTTGCAGTAGCTATCTCATTAGACACTGTCAGGAAGATGGGACAACTCGGATCCATTCTTCCTCAATCTGGCAAAGACAATCATGTCGCTGCCGACGAGGAAGCAATGAACATCGTGGGCGTTATTGAAAATGTGGCTGTGAAAGTCGGGCGAGTACACGTCCACGTTAACGCGCTCGTGATAGACGTATGCTCCTATTCTGTACTATTAAGGTTATCTTGGGCGATGGCGGTGGGCGCACGTTTGCATTTTGATTCCAAGCAACTGGTGCTCACGCAAACTGGGGGAAAGCCCCAAACTGTTCCCTTGCGAATTTCCACCCGAACGATAAAACGAACTCCTAACTCAACCCAAATAGGGATGATTCGATGCATCGATGCCGATGGGTATTCTTCCTCGGACATAGGCAACGGAATCAGGGAACAGGAATACGAAGAAGAACTGCCCAGTGAGGATGAATGGAAGCACCGTGGATTCAGGAGACAGCACACTTGCGCCTCCGAAAGCCCAGGTCAGTCCTTCAATCCTCCTCGGGGAACCCATATTACAAGTGTCTGACCTGACTGATGATTTGGAACCCCCTCGTACCTTGTACGAGGGAGCTGTTTCCTTATGAACACGTTATCAACAAACGAAACAGTATCTAGACGTTTCTGTTTTCCCGCCCCGATCGTTACTAACAACGGGGGCGACCATCGCTTTGATTAAATAGAAGGCAGAAGCGCCGGTAGATGACAAGCCTGATCTAATGCAAGAGATGACGAACCTAACAGGACTGACTGTGGAGCAGATTTCGGCCGACTCAGAAACTGACGCCGAAACTAAAGAAACCGAAATGATCACTCCCGCCGAATCACAGATGATTGTGACTGTCTTTTCTGTTAGGACCAGCAGTTCTGTCTTTTTCAGTGTTTACGATCGAAGGGAGCGGCCGGTTGATTGCATCGATATACCCCTTAAGACCCCTGGGGAATCAACGATCACCCTACCAAGCCACGTCCCCGCGGAACTTCGAAAGTCACTAATCGATGTTTTGAACGGTTATGCAGAGGTGTTGAGCGTGCATGATAATGATATCGGCTTGACTAACGTGATCGAGCATGCCATCTTCATGGGAGAACATCCACCCATTAGCTGCGCTCCTTACCGATACTCGCCGGCTCAAAGAGCGGCCGCTTTTCAGCGGATTAAGGAGTTCGAAGCTAATGAATGGATCGAACCCGCTATACGTCCATGGTCCTTTCCTGTAGTCGCATTTGTATTGATTATCGAAAATTGAATGATATCACGATCAAAGATGTGTACCCCTCCCTCGGATTGATGAGATGTTGGATGCGATTGGGAGTGCCCGATTTTTCAGTAAGTTTGATGTTCGCCATGGGTTCCATCATCTTCTTGTCCGAGAAGAATATTGTTCGAAAACGGCGTTTGTGCTTTTTGAAGGAACGTGGCAGTGGATTCGATGTCCGATGGGTATCTGCAACGCCTCCGCGACCTTTCAGCGAGCCATGAATATGGCCTTTCAGAATTTCGTACGAAAGACTCGTTTGGCGCAGAGTATCATCAAATACTGCGTGATTGTGTACATGGATGACATTCTGGTGTACTCGAGTTCCTACGAGGGACACGTGCAGGACATCAAGTGGGCTCTGCATGCATTACGAGATGCGGGTTTCAAGGTGGCGCTTGAGAAGTGCCAGTTTTTTCTTACCACCATTTCCTTCCTTGGACACGTGGTAACAGACAAAGGGCTCCAACCAGAGCCCAAAGAAGGTGGCAGCTGTCAGAGATGCGCCGGTGCCTACGACTATCACGCAAGTTCGCGCCTTTTTGGGCCTGGCCTCGTACTACCGAAGATTTATCAAGGGATTCGCGGGGATCGCGGGACCCCTCACGAATCTGTTGCGCAAAGATCAGTCGTTGATCTGGACGCCGGAGTGTGATCAAGCGTTCTCGAAACTCAAGGCCGCTCTCATTTCGGCTCCGGTCCTTATAAGACCGGATCCCGAAAAGCCTTTTGTTCTCATCACTGACTGGCAGCCAGAGGCAATTTCGGCTATCCTTGCCCAAGTGGGACCAAGTGGACTCGAGAGCGTGGTGGAGTATACGTCCAAATCGGTGCCCGCCTGCAAGCGCAACTACGCCGCTCCGACGGGAGAATGCTACGCGGTTCTTTGGGGAATCAGTCACTTCCGCGCTTACCTGTACGGATGGAAGCTTACCTTGGTAACCGATCATGAGCCCCTGTTGGCTCTGAAGAAGTCAAAGGATTACTCTGGCATGATCGGGCGGTGGGCAACGGTGCAACAGGGCACGGGAATGCGGACGGACTGACACGACTGGACCGGCCTGAGAAAGTTCTGAAGAGTGAGGAGGTGATTCCGTGGAACGAACCCGAACAGGAGGTTGGACCTCGATACGGCCAAGTGGAGATCTTGTCCAAGCAGTAAGTGACACGAGGATCAATTTGACTGATTCTACCCTCTCCGCAATTCGATCCCATCTCTCCTCCTCTGTCATCATGACTACCCCACCTGTCTCTGCAACCCCTTCCTTTCCTACTAATTCTGCCCCTCTTACTTCCTCAACTTTCTTTGCCACCCTCCCCGATAAATTCTGTTATTTTTGTACGTGTATTGCACGGGTTTATGGTGTCGACTGTCATCCTTTCGAAACTGGGTTTGTCGATTGGGTAGAATGTGCCACGTGTGTCAATCGTGCGCACGGGGTCTGCGTTCGATATCGGACAAGTAGCAAGGAATGGAGGTGCCCCCTGTGTAGAACGAACAAACTCCCCACGGAGGTTCGATTCGAGGCCGCCCGTACGGACGGTCCTAAATACGACGAAAAATACCGACGAGCGGAGGTTTGGACGGATAAACTTTTATTGGCGAAATTAGCAGGATTATCATTGGGACACCTCACCAAACACGACAGACGTAGGGCAACCGAGAGATCTCGTGACTATCGGTGGATCAACGGTCATTTGGAGAAGCGTAAAACTGACGGATCGGGTTCGTGGTTGACGGTTCCCCATCCATTCCAGAGATATGATTGGATCCGATCGGCTCACGAAGAACAGGCCGCTCATTTCGCGATACGTGTCACGGAGGCAACTATAGACCAGAACCGATGGTTCTGGTCCAACATACGAGATGATGTCAGATACATTGTCGCCAACTGTCTGGTNGCGATACGTGTCACGGAGGCAACTATAGACCAGAACCGATGGTTCTGGTCCAACATACGAGATGATGTCAGATACATTGTCGCCAACTGTCTGGTTTGTGCCGCTGATCGCGCCCCTATACGGGGAACAAACACGATAGTACCAACGGAAGTAGAGCGTCCCTTCCAACGAGTCAGTATGGACACAACAGATATCGACGTGCCACCTGGCCCAAACCGCTGCGAATATTCTATCCTTTTAGTATTAATTGACCATTTTTCCAAGTACATCAAGGTCTATCCCTGTAGGACCCGCAAGGCCGCAGAAATAGCCACGTACATCGATCGGTTCCTCTATACTCATCTAGATACGGAAGAAATTCTAACCGACAATGGGTCCGAATTTAAGGGAGAAGTAGAGGAACTGCTCGCACGAAGGGGCGTCACGCTCCGACATACGGCACCCCACATGTCCCAGTCGAACGGGTTGGCTGAGAACGCCAACCGTATGATTAAAACCGCCCTTCGCAGGAATTTAGCGGCACATGACACGCGTCCGTGGCCCAAGATCGTGTATCAGATCGTCGGGATCCACCGGGCCACCCCTTACGAATCCACGGGGTTTACCCCCTTTCAGCTTCGTACTAATAGCCTCCCCTGTGTCGACTACCGGGGTAACTCGGAAATTGCCAAACCAGGGGGTAGAGACACGCGTATAGCCCTCGAGGCCAAGGCCAAAAGGTACACCGAATTAATGGAGCGGGCCGTTCCGAAGCTAGCCCGAAAAAGACAAAGGATGACCGATCTCACCCACGGTAGGCAGGTCCGTAGCTACGAGGCTCGGAATGGAAATGTTGGGCCCCAGCATCAATATAAATTAGGGGACCTACTGCAGGTACGTAAATGTGCACGCGACCGCAAACTCGCTCCCAAGTTCTCTGGCTACTTTCGCGTTGTCGAGCTCGGTTCTAACGGCGCCAACACAGTGCGCATCGCGTCTGAGACCAGTGCCAGCCATAGCTCTGTCCCCATCGTCCGGCATACCTCCTACCTTCGTCTTCTCCCTCCCTCTCATCCTCCTCCCTCTCCCTCCTCCGAAAGCGAGGAGAACGATGACGATCTAACTCTCTCTCCGCTCTCTCCCTCCTGCCCTTCCTCCTCCTCTCCGACCTCGCCATGAGTTTCATCACGGAGCGGGCTCTTGACGAACAGCTGTTGCAGCCACGTGGCCATATCTCGGAAATTCGCCAAGTTCGTCATCCACGGCTCAATACGGATCTTCGGTGATTGGCGCAGTTCTTTTGCGACGTGGGTGTGTGTGCCACCGCCGCGTTTCAAATCGAAGGGAGTCCACGCGCAGTGGTATTGGCGGAGGTAATCGCAGTTCATCGGCGAGCGGCTCCCGGAACGAGCCACGTCACCACAGTTGCGGCATTCAGCGGCGATATCAGCTCGGTCAACCCACAGTGGCATACCGAACCCTGCACATTGGCGACTGTGGCGCGAAACTTTTGACGAGCTGTCTTTCTGCTTGGCCAGAGTACAGGTGACGTGGACGCAGACCAGCGAGCATCCTGCGTGGATCGAAAATTTGGAGCTGCTGATCATCCACGCTTGGAGGACTAACGTCGAAGGCGATCTTCTCGGCTTTCTCTTTGGATCGGTATGGCCGGGCCGTTGCCAGTTGATTGCGCAGGAGCTCATCGCGCCGATCATGCAATTGGCGGACGACCTCTCGCCCGACATCTATTCGCAAAGCGACGACAGCCCTGCTCCGTACATTCTCGAGCGATCATTGGATTCGTACCTTCAGTGGACTGCGTGCTTAGAGGAGCCTAGGGACGAAGATATTCTACCATCACGGCAGGAGTATCTGAAGCCGTACGACATCATCCCTCACGCCTTCTATCTGAAGGCGGAGGAACTGGTGATCGACGATGACGACGAAGAAGATGACGACGAGGAAACGTCGGAGGAGGGAAGCTATAGCGAGTATAGCGAGGGCGAGCTGAGTGAAGAAGAAGAAGAGGAGGGAGAAGAAACCGGATATGAGTGGGAAGCCTTGCCGGAGGAAGCGGCACGAACGGGCACGGAGGCGGAAGATCAGGAGGCAGCGCGAAGGCGCGAAGAAATTGCCACCGGGAAACGCCACCTGGAGTTCGCCAGTGGAGCCAGCTTGCGCATCCGTAACGATCCGACCAGGGATCCGGAGCCGCCGAAGCCCGAAGATGGTGACCCATCAGCCGCCACCTCAAGCACCGTGCGACGGAGACGGAGCCGATCCCCCTCCTCCTCCAGCCCCACCCGTCCCCCAGTTCGCCCACGTACCGATGCGGGCGATAGGCCTTCGTCCTCGGATGTTAACCCGCCGTCCCCTTGATTTTCTCACCCTCGAACAGATACGCACCCCCGTCACCTTCCCCCCCCCATCCCTTCCTTCCCTACCTCTTCCGCTACTTCTACTCGACCCGCCTGCTCGCAACCGTCTACCCCCACCCATCCCTTCAGCCCGCTGCCCCCACCTTCTGCTGGCATATCCTGTTGTTCAGTGATGCATGGGAGCAATGCAACGTGGTAGAATTCTACTGCGTAGCTACGGGGACAATCCCCGCCTGTCGCCACTACGAATTCTTTCGAGCAGCGCTCCTCCGCACCCTCTCCTCCTTCTATCGCGACTACCTCGCCTCCCTCCCTCATAGCGGCGATCGCTTCCCTCGCTTCCACCGGATTATCTGATATGAGGAGCTTCCGGTGACGGTTGAAGGGATGAATCGCTACCTACCCCCACTTCCTCCCCATCGTCCCCGTGGGATCCCCTCCATGTACCGCCTCTACTGGCCCATTCCAACTAGGCGGTAGCTCCCAATTACGTGACTA